AGTTAGGTCCCTACCATTTCTGTCCTTTATTGAGCCCATCTTTGCATGAAATGTTCCCTTGGTATCTCTAATTTTCTTGAAGTGATCTCTAGTCTTTCCCATTCTGTTGTTTGCCTCTATTTCTTTGCACTGATCTCTGAGGAAGGCTTTCTTATCTCTCCTTGCTGTTCTTTGGAACTCTGCATTCAAATGGGTATATCTTTTCTTTTCTCCTTTGCTTTTCACTTATCTTCTTTTCACAGCTATTTGTAAGGCCTCCTCAGACAGCCATTTTGCTTTTTTGCATTTCTTTTTCTTAGGGATGGTCTTGATTCCTGTCTCCTGTACAATGTCACAAACCTCCATCCATAGACCCCTAAATTAATCTTGGACTCCTATGTGCTGTGCTGTGCTTAGTCGCTCAGTCGTGTCTGCCTTTTTGTGACTCCATGGACTATGGCTCTCCAGGCTCTTCTGTCCATGGGGATGTTCCAGGCAGAATACTGGAATGGGTAGACTATTCCTTCTCCAGGGGATCTTCCCCACCCAGGAATCAAACCTAGGGTCTCCTGCATTGCAGGTGGATTCTTTAAAAGCTGAGTTACACTGGGAGCCCTGGACTCCTGTATTGTCTCTCAAATTTGCTCTTTTGTGTTCTTTTAATCTCTTTATTTTCGACTTCCCTGGTGGCTCAGTGGTGAAGAATCTGCCTGCAATGCAGGTCAGGTCAGGAAGATCCCCTGGAAAAGGAAATGGCAACCAACTCAGTATTCTTGCCTGGGAAATCCCATGGAGAGAGGAGCCTGGCAGGCTGCAATACATGGGGTCACAAAAGAGTCAGACATAACTTAGCAACTAAACAAGAACAACAATCTATTTAATTTTCTGGGGAAGTCCTCCCAACTTTATTTTACAACCATTTTAGTAAATCTTAGTAAATTTCTAAAAATCAATTTTTCAAAAACATCTAATACCACTCTCTCTTTCTCTGTTAGTTCCTTTTTCTTTGTAACCAGGGGTGCAATGTGTGTTCTCAAATCTCTCTAAAAATATTAGAGGTTTTGGAAGTTTCTCCTATTTCCTACAATATCTCTGTTTCTCCTGGGGTATGACATTTTTCTCTTTTTAGTGTTATTCTTTCTTCCTGAAGTTGTAGAATTTCTTCAAAAGTCTGCTGATCTGTGGTTATCTGTTTCTACTTAAGAGGAGGCACTGGAAATCAATGCATCTGACTCACCAAATTAAAGAATAAAGAAGGAAAACCATATGAACACCACAATAGGTGCATTTCATAATACTCAACATCTGACCATGATAAAACTCTCAGCAAACTAGTAACAAACAGAAACTTCCTCTGTCATGTGTGTGTATCTGTGTATGACATCATACTTGATGCATTAAATACATTAAATGCATTTTCTCTAAGGCTAGAAACAATATAAGGAAGAAAGAAAAAAGAAACAGTTTTGGAAAGGAAGAAGCAGAAGAGTTTTATTTTCTGCTGGCATGGTTATTTTTTTCTATGAAATCCAAAAGTAGTCTACAAACATATTACTGGAATACATGAATTTAGGAAGGTCATGAATACATGGTTACTGTTTCTTAAAATCAATTCTATGTTCATACAGTTGTTAGAAATAATTTAAAAAGCAGTATCACTTAAAGTAGGCTCCCAAAGAATAAAATAGCTAAGAAGAAGTTTAAGGAAAGAAGTGTATGACTCCTCTGTGTGTATGTGTGTGTGTGTGTGTGTTTGTGTGTGTGTTCAGTCATGTTTAACTCTTTGCGACCCTATGGACTGCAGCCCGCCAGGCTCTTCTGTCCATGGAATTTCCCAGGCAAGAATACTGGAGTGGATTGACATCTCTTACTCCAGGAGATCTTCCCGACCCGGGGATCGAGCCCACATCTCTTGCATCTCCTGCTTCGGCAAGCAGGTCCTTTACCACTGTGCCACCTGATACTGAAAGCTACAAACACTTCTAGCAAGATTAAGGAAAATTAAACAAATGGGTTGAACTCAATGTTGTTAAGATGTCACTTTTCACCAAATGAATCTAAAAGGATTTGCATCTACTTTCGATGCAAACCCTATAAAACTCAAAAAGGCTTTTCTTGTAAACATTGACAAATAAATTTTAAAAGATATGTGGAAAACCAAAAGACGTAGAAAATCGAAGGTTATATTTTCCTAATTGACTTCAAGTCTTTCTATATGCTGTAGATTCAGATCAATACACTGTTGGCATAAGAGTAGGCAAACAGACAAATGGCACAGAGTAGAAAATCTAGAAATAGAACCAGGTTTACATTTTAAATTAATTTTTGAATATTTTAATTGGCTTGGGGGAGGCAAAGATTTTTCAGATAGTACCCTAAAGTTGTTAGCCACAGAAGAAAAAAATGACAGCTTTGGCTTTGTTCAAATTAAAAATTTCTCCTCATCAAAACACATGGTTAAGAAAATGAAGGCAAACCACAAAATGGGTGAAAATATTCACAATACATTGCTGTTGCTGTTCAGTTGCTCAGTCATGTCCAATTCTTTGTGACCCCATGGACTGTAGCATGCCAGGATTCCCTGTCCTTCACTATCTCCTGGAGTTTGCTCAAACTCATGTCCGTTGAGTCAACGATGCCATCCAACTATCTCATCCTCTGTCATCCCCTTCTCCTCCTTCCCTCAGTCTTTCCGAGCATCAGGGTCTTTTCCAATGAGTTGGCTCTTCAAATCAGGTGGCCTAAACGTTGGAGCTTCAGCTTCAGCATCAGTCCTTCCAATCAATATTCAGAGTTGATTTCCTTTAAGATTGACTGATTTGATCTCCTTGCAGTCCAAGGGACTCTCAAGAGTCTTCTCTAGCACCACAGTTCAAAAGCATCAATTCTTTGATGCTCAGCCTTCCTTATGGTCCAACTCTCACCTCTATACATGACTACTGGAAAAACCAGTTTTGACTATACAGACCTTTGTCAGTAAAGTGATATCTCTGCTTTTTTAATACACTGTCTAGGTTTGTCACAGATTTTCTTCCAAGGAGCAAACGTCTTTTAATTTTGTGGCTGCTGTCATTGTCCACAGTGATTTTGGAGACCAAGAAAATAAAGTCTGTCACTGTTTACCTGTCCATTTGCCATGAAGTGATGGGACTGGATGACATGATCCTAGTTTTTGAATGTTGAGTTTTAAGCCAGCTTTTTCACTCACAGTATGTATATTAAACAAAATGTTTCTTTTATAATATGTACAAACTTCTACACATCAATAAATAATAAGACAACCCAATAATATAAATGGGCCAAAGGCTTGAAAAGGCATTTCAAAAAAGGAGATTATGAATAGCCAATGAGCAAATGGAAGTGTGCTCAATATTATCAGTCATTAAAAAAGTACAGGTTAAAACTGTATAAAATACTGTATTACATATTATAGACTAAAATGGCTAAAACTAAAAAACCTATTTCTAACAGATTTTGGAATAGTTTGACAGATTCTAAAACTATTAAACATACTCCTACACAATGACCCAACAATTCCACTCCTAGTTATTTGCTGAAGGGAAATGAAAACATCTTTTCAACAAAAAACTTGTACAAGAACCACAGCTTTATTCAAACTAGTCCCAAACTAGAATCCACCCAAATGTCCATAAACAGGAAAATGAATATGTAGATTGCGGTAGGTCCACACAATGGAATATCTTCAACAATAAAAGAACCAAATTTCTGTTCATCTAACATGGATGATGAACGAAAGAAGTCAGACACAAAGCACGTGTGATGTATCGTTTTCATGTATGCAGTGTAAAAGTGTTAGTCACTCAGTCACGTCCAACTCTGCAAACCCATGGACTATGGCCCTCCAGGTTCCTCTGTCATGGAATTTCCTAGCCAAGAATACTGAAGTGGGCAGCCATTTCATTCTCCAGGGCATCTTCCCAATCCAGGTCTCCTGCATTACAGGCACATTCTTTACCATCTAAGCTACCAGGGAATATGCAGTCCAATCATGCCTTCATGCTCAGTCATGTCTGACTCTTTGCAACCCTATGGATGATAGCCCACCAGGCTCCTCTGTCAATGGAATTTTCCAGGCAAGAATACTGGAGTGGGTTGCTGTGCCCTTCTCCAGGGGATCTTCCCCACCCAGGGATTGAACCCACATCTCTTGCATCTCCTACACTGGCGGACAGGTTCTTTACCACTACTGCCACCTGGGAAGGCTGTGTGAAGTCCAATAACAAGTAAAATTAACATATGGTTACAAAAAAGGATAGCACAGTTTCCCTCTGAGCAGCTGTCTTGGTACAAGTGGTCAGGATGGAAACTGAGGGTGGAAGGTGTGATGTTCTGTTCTTAATTTTTCAAATAACACACTGGTTTTCCACATGTCTCCCTTGTGATCTCCACTGGGTCTCCAGGGTTCTGCAGGACTCACTGGCTGCTTTCCTGACCTCTTTGAGTGTTTTCCACCTACAATAGTGGTTAGCGATCCTCTGATCACTTTTCGTCTCATAAATTTTGGTAGAAATATTTTATCTGCTCATTGCCCCCTGCCATTCTCCTTGTCATTGTAAATCTAATCCCTTTATTAGCATTTTTAGTGGGAGGTGGTGACAATAATAAAGAGAAGATAAATGATTCTCTTTAATTGGCAGTATTTAGCCAGAAACATTTTTTACAGGAAGTTGATGCAATAAAGTGATTATTCCCCGATGCATTTTGAGTACTGAAAAGGACCCAAATACACCAGACAAAGGCGGATATCTTTATGATGGTTTTGATTGTGACATGCTGAAATGGACTTCTTTAGTCCTGTACTTCAGTCTTTCTTAACTTCTACACTTTTCTTCAACTATATCATTGTTTGTTGTTTCAATTGCTTTTATTTCTTTACTGAAACCACTTATTTTATATATGTTGGTTCTTCACAATCTATCCTTTATATATAAAACGTTACAGCCTCCACAAGCATCTCAGAACCTTGATGACCATTTTCACATGATATTCTTCTTCCTTAGGATGTCCACAGAAACTCAGAACATGGAAGAAAGGCTTGCCTTTGAGACTGTATTCAGGCACTTCAAAAGACATAAAGTGGAGATTTCAACTGCAATTAAAAAGACATTTCCTTTCTTTGAGTGCCTTCGTGACCGTGAACTCATCACCAATAAAATGTATGAAGTAAGTGAGGTTTCTTATGTCACCATCTGGTAAACCAGCCCCAAACTAAGTTATGCTTTGATATCCTGAACACAAAAGTCAGGACACAGCTAGCTAACTGAGGGGTGTCCTATGAATAGAAGACTTTTTAACTATTGTTGCAAATGTTCAAGTATTGTTGTGAGGTATAAAGGGAGACAGTAGAAACACACATCACTGGAGACAGTCCTTCCTCTAATTGAAAGGATGGTGCTCTTGGCGACCACTGGATTCAGGCAGGCTGGATCTAAACCAGTTGTGCTCCACAGATGTTTAATACACACAGTACAGCATAAACTAAGAATTAAAAGCAAGTGTAATAAATTCATGAATAATTTAAATGAGATGATTTAGTGAAATAATAATTGACACAGCATTTCTTTTTGAAGAATATCAATTTAAACAGTTGGGCTTCCCTCGTAGTTCAGTGGGTAAAGAACCTGCCTGCAATGCAGGAGACCTGGGTTTGATCCCTGAGTTGGGAGGATCCCCTGGAGAAGGAAATGGCTACCCACTCCAGTATTCTTGCCTAGAGAATCCCATGGGCAGAGGAGCCTGGCGGGCTATAGTCCATGGGGTCACAAGAGTCGGACATGACTTAGTGACTAAACCAACCAATTTAGATCTGAGAACATTGAAACCCACAGGGAACTGATGTCTTGTTAGGAAAAATTTGGGAATAGATGCTTGCTATTCTTTCCCCAACAGGGGTTTTTGTTTTTCCATTTATTTATTTCCTTAATTATGTATTTATTTGTGCTCTTTCTGGAGTCTTGGACTTTGAGTTAATTTTAATGATAGGCATTGTTGGAGATACAGAGGTGCACGTCTTCAGCTTGTCTTCCGAACATGCTTTCCCTGTGGCCAAGTTCACAACATGGAGAACTGTCACCTGGCTTCCTTGAGCTCTTCCCACAGGCCAAGTCAGTATTGGTGAAGGGGCAGGGGTTGTCCAGTCAACAGAATAGTTGCTTATCACCTGCCAAGTCTATTCCTCAAAGAGTTGACCAGGCTCTTAGCTACATATTCATTAACTTTGAACCCACTTTTAATCTTCAGGATTGTGCCTTCTTACATCTAACATAAGTTAGGGTGAGGAGATCAGATTCACAAATGGATAGTTTTAAGAAGAGAGGATTTATTGTTTCAGTTAGTAGTCATACAAATATGCAGAAATGCTAAACCTCTACATGAAAAGATAAGGAAATTGGAATATATGTATGGAATACATATATCATGTATGTATGGAATATGTAATACATATGTATTATGTATGTAATATGTATGGAAATTGGAATACATTAACTTGACATCTCTTTCTAGGGCTCTCTTGTAACTTGGAAGTCTGTATTTATACTTTTCTTCATTCATTGTTTTTAAGGACTGTCAAGATTCTTGTAGAAACCTGGTCCCTGTACCAAAAGTGGTGTACAATGTTCTCAGTGAGCTGGAGAAGACATTTAACAATTCACTTCTGGAAGCATTGTTCAGCGACGCCAACATGCAGGAATATCCTGATTTAAATCATGTTCGTCAAAGCTTTGAAAAAGGTAATTAGCTTATTTTCCACTTTTTGATGTTCAACGTCAATTCTGTTCAACAAGGATATATTGAGCTCCCATCACGTGCCATAACTGGTGCTGAGCAGCAGGGCTATAACAGTTAACAAAGCACACTTGAGTCTTCTCAAATTGAACCTAGGTCTTCTACATTTCAGGCAGATTCTTCACCATCTGAGCCACCAAGTTCTTCTCAAAGCTCATGTTATAAAGGCTATGGTACAACACCAACCTAGAGGTCTGCTTAGCTAGACACTTGGACTCCCAGGAGAACCAGAGCCACAGTGCCATCCAATTTAGATAGAAGGACAAATGACAGGTCAGCAGTAGCCTATACAGCAGTCCACTGAGCTGACTACTACCCATCTCAAGCCTAGCTGTGGGTGTAGGATCCACCCTGGCTTAGAAACAACAGATCAACAGGGTCAGTATCTCAACAACTCCAGAATCATAGCTTTCAGGGACCCCTAGAGGAACAAGCCAGATTATAAGAATCACCACAACCCAAGAACAACCTACGGACGTAGGTAGACCCTCCCAGTCACAGGGAGACCCTCAAACCCAGGGTTGACCTGGTAACACAGAAGAAAGGCCACTTTCACATATTTCTAGAGTAATTAGCACAAAAGTTAACTTATATCAAATTTTCCCTTGAAGGGAAAATGGTTTTAATCATATTTTCTCCTCAAATAATCACAAAGGCTTGCCGGGGTCCAGCCCCAGCAAGATCCAGGGGAACCCTCAGGATGAACGGAGTCGGCGAGAGAGAGAGACACGTAGGACCGGCCTTGATAGGGCCAAGTCTGCCAGGGAGAGAGAGAGAGAGAGAGAGAGAGAAAGAGACCAGACCAGGAATATGCAGCAGAGTCTGGCAGTTGCTTTATTTTTCACCGTGGCCTTTATACCCTAAGTTGGTACATTTCTAAGGGGCAGATAAGCATAAAAACTTAGTTTAACATTACATCAGCTTGTCCTTCACGAAACCAGGTGTGCTGTGTATATTTTTTTGTCTATGAGAGTCTTTTCCCATAAATGTTTTGTCCATTATCTTCTGGCCTTGAGGTCAGCAGAAAACAGAAAAGTGGCAGTCTCATGGTACAGCAAGTCATAGAAACATAATAGAAATACAATCCTGTTAACATAAAAGTCAGTCTTTTTGCAGAAATTCTCAGCTAAATTTATCTAAAAAGTTTAACACACAAAGACTCTGTGGCTCTGGTGAGGCAGCCCCTGTTTAGCACTCCTGGTTAAAACTAACAATTATCTTATTGTTTTTATACTAGGACTAAACTCTTATTTTACTAGATTTTTAACTATATTAACAATAGTTTCCACTGCACAACCTCAGCACATTAACATCAATCAAACGTTGATCCAATAACCACTTTTAAAACAATATTTTTTGTATTCTCTAATAGGGCTTCCTCACCCCTCAAAGGGCTCTGTGCCTATTAGGGCCTTTTTTATGGTTAATCTCTATGTATAATATCTTTTGACTTTCAGGCCTGTTGACAATTTATGACTTGCACCTGGTGCAACTTTAAGCAACTTCAGTAGCCAACCCTGTCTTATTTGTGTTTAATCTATTTTCTTTCTATTAGGTGTCATCTCCAAGGGAACTAGATAGGATTACATTTTTTACAGAACAGAAATGCAAAGGGTTGCAAAAACAGCAGATATGGCACAAAACAGGCTCTTATTCTAAAAGTTAATTACCTGCAAGAAGTCACCAGCTAATCTCTATCTAAACTATTTTCTATTAGGCACATTTGTGGCTATAATATTTGTGGAGCTTTTCTCACCCCGCGAAGGGGCCTATGCTTAATAGTTTCTTTTGTTAGCATACTGTGCTTAGGATGTTTAGAACAATCATGAGCATTTTGTGCAATGAGAGCACACATTTATCAAACAAGCCAGAATGCCAGCTAAAGGTTTGAATTGAAGCATTTCCTTCATCCCTGGCCAGGGTACCAGCGTCCAGGATATTTATTAATTAGCTTTTAAGTTGGTCTTTATTCAGTGAAAGAAGAGCAGGAGAGCTCTCGGCAGGCAACACAAGAATCCGCAGCAGGGCAAATAAGAACAACAGCAGGAAAGGGGAGAGGATATAGGGTAGGGTAGAGACCGAGGCCAACCTGGAGGGTCCCTTATCCTAGACAGCCTTGCCTGTCAGGTATTTTCCTCGTGACCTCATCATGGATGGGGTCCCAGACGGCCTTGCCTGCCCGGTATTTTCTTCATGACCTCGTCACGGGCGGGACCTCCCATAATGGCCCCCGACAAAGGCTATTCTCCTCCAGGGGTTATTTTTGGTGCCACGTATAACTAAATGTTGACTTTTTGCTGAGAAGTTATAATTTATCCTTTTTAAATGCTGGTGACTCATATCTACACTTGCTGCCAACCCCCTGCCCCTGGCAGAGGTCACTGCTGTCCACAAGAGCTTGGGTCAGTGACTAAACTCCAGAGGATGGGGACAGTGGTCCAGGGCATGATATCTCTCCTGTTTCTAGGTTCCCCCCTCATCCCTGTCTCATGTGCTGAAGTCCCCCCGCCCTTAGGCCTCCTTCACCTTTTCTGGGTTTTGAGCCGCTGTCCTCCTCATACCAGCCATCTGATTTTGCTGGAACTTGACCCATGCTCTGGGGAAGACAAAGGAGTACCCATGGCTCCCACAGTCCTGTCCATCTCACCCCCTAATGGGCATTTTCCCAAGAGGCGCTCCTGCCATCAGCTCTGAGGCAGCCTGCCACCATGTCTCCTTCCTAGACTCCTGGCAGTGATCTACCTACTAGGCTCCTTGGTTTATTTCCTTCCTCCTGCGTCTGCTAAGTTACCTACATGCAGGGTCTCTGGGCTGGTGTCCTTGCCTCCTCTTGTTGGCAGCCTCTTGGGTCCGTGGTCCAGGAGTCTTGGGGATGCCCTGCAGTGCCACAATAGGCAATCCCTGCGTGCAGCTTCAGAGTGTCCTTTTTTGTGGGATCTGGACCACTCTGGGAGCTCCGACTAGCAACTCCAGCATGCCCCCCCCCCACCCCCTCTTGTTTGTCTCTTTGGAAACTGAGCATCCTCCCCAACACAATTAAGCCTAAACCTCCTCTTATCTAGAGCCCTCTTTAAAGCCTTTGGGCTTTCTTTTTTACACACACACACACACACACACACACACCTCTAGGATCCTAGTTGTGCTCCAGGAGAAATTTGTTTCTTTCTTACATTTTGAACAGTGCAGTTAACACATTTCATTTCCCTTATTTATTTTGACATGTATTGTCCGCATGGTGTGACGTTTATTGTACGTGACTGACAGCCTCAGGATGTTCCCAGGACTCCTTTGTCCTTATATTTGAGTGGCTCATTTCTGTGCAGGGATCATAACTGTTCCCTTGCTGGAGGTTTCTCTTTTCTGTCCAAGGATGATGGAGGAGCTTTCCCATGAAGGTTGGGATCCACTGAGCTCTGAGTGACCCGAGAGCTGAAAATACCTAAACGTGCAATTCTGAGATGATGTTCCTGGTCTCTGGTGGAGATCTCTAATTGTGTTTTCTCTCCCTCTCTTCAGCAATCCAAGAAAGACTTAGTTATGAAGAGATCGATGGAGAAGAGAGGGAGGAGAGGCCTGCCATCCAACTGAGCCTTGAGCAAGGTGATTGAGATCAAGAACAAACCAACTCTCCCTTGCTAAGAGGAAAAGGAGAAGGGGAGGTGGAGGCCTGAGTCCTGACAAAAGATTGAGAATCAGGGAAGAAACAATGAAGGACCACAGAGAAGGCAGGCAGGGATGTTTGTATGAGCATCTAACCAGAGGCTAAGTCCTCGAGGAGTGGCTATGACAAGAGGCCGTTGCCCCAAATATCAAGTCAAAGGAAGAGGAACCCAGAGTGTCAGTAACCAGATTTAAAGAGAATGACTGCCGGGAAGTCATTGTGATTTAGAAAGAATCCTATAGAAGATCAATGTGAAGGTGTGATGGGCTAATCATTATGGGCCCAAGGTCAATGTCAAAGTGGAGGCCGTTGATGATGGCAGAAGAAAGGACTGATTTAAATGTGGGGGAGGTTGTTCAAGAGCAGGAATATTCAAGGAGAAAGGTGGTCATAGGGATTCAGTGATGAGGAATGGTAAAGATGCGGAGGAGACGTGGGTATTTAAGAGAGAGGGGAGAAGAAAAAGAAGAAATGAAAGGAGAAAGGGGTCAAGGACACAACAAAAACAAGCAAGTTAATAACAGCTCATTTGATTGAATGGTTCTTCTGGCAGTTGTGGGTGTAGTGCCATTGGACGGTATTATCACTTATGTGCCCATTTTGCAGATAAGAAAGCTGAAATCTAGAGCGACCATGTATGTAGTTGGCCTGGGACCAAATGAGCAAGGATGGAACCAGGCATTCCGAACCCAGAGCCTGTGTTTTCAACCCTGGATACTCCCTGGTAGCCTAATGGGACAGACAGAACCCTGAAACAAAAGGAGGGAAATATACAAAGAGGGAAGTGAAGTGAAAGTCACTCAGTCATGTCCGACTCTTTGCGACTCCATGGACAGTAGCCCACCAGGCTCCTCTGTCCGTGGGATTTCCCAAGCAAGAATACTGGAGTGGGTTGCCATTCTGGAGAAAGTGGAGGAGAATCAGATGTTGAATCCTCAGGGAGAGGCTAACAAGACAGATTAAACAGAGCTGTACAGGGAGGGAGTGGATGAAGAGGGGGTGCGGACTTTGCAGGAAGTAAGGTAAAGTCACCAGTCAGGGCCCCTCTAGGGACCAAAGCCGGTTCACCACGGCTTGGGAATCAAGATAAGCCATTGCTAGGTACTGAATGGCTGGTGGAGATCACGCAGTGAGATGGCCTGGCCAAAGCCCTCTCAGCCAAGAGTGCCCCTGACCTGTCTTCCACTCAAGGATTTGGGGTCTGGCTGCAAGATTTGGATGAGATCCACCAGGCCCAGATGGTCTCTGTATTGTTGTCTACTGGGGGTCTCAAGCTTCTTATTTATTTAAAAAAAGAAAGAAAGAAAGAAAGAAATGAAAAAGGGAATTAGGGGAGGGTGGCACAGCCCCTACTTCAATTTCTGAAATAAATTTTTAATTTTTCCCCCTAGGAACTTCTGGAGGCCTGACTTGGTCTGGGGGAGAATCCTCATCTTATGACGGTCTGTGGCTGGTTCTGTTCTGTGATGCTTTGCCACTTATGTCCCCTTCTAGGCTGTGCTGGGGGTGGAGTGGCTGCTTCTTTGTTTCAGAAATTTGTCAGTCCTTGCATCTGCAGTTTCTCCAAGGGTCAGTACTCTGAGTTGCTGGGAAGGTCGCTGCTTCCGGGCTCCTTAAATGTACTTGCTGCCAGTTCCCAAAGACTCTGGGCCTGTTTGTTTTGCCCCAGCAGCTGACTTCACCGTTTTCTGTTCTGTTTCGTTTGATCAGGCAGTGACCTTGGGGCTTCGATGTCATGTCTGGCAGAGGCCAGTGCTACAACCAGAGTGGTGGAAGAAGCAAGTGATGGGCATTCCTCGGGGCAGGGGGCGATGGGGGGGAGTCCTCCCATAACTTCAATTAACCCCTGACATTCTTAATGATGTTATTATTTAAATTTTATTGCTTAGCTTTCTCATTTGTAATATAGGGATATTACAGGTAGATTGTCATGAGGCTATGAAATGGAACAAGGATAGGAATGCATTTAACAGTCATTAGGTATTCACTGGGCTTCCCTGGTGGCTTAGCAGCACTGTTTACAATAGCTAGGACATGGAAACGACCTAGATGTCCATCGGCACACGAATGGATAAGGAAGTTGTGGTACAAATACACAATGAAATATTGCTCAGCTACAAAAAAACACGTTTGAGTCAGTTTCAATGAGTTGAATGAAACTGGAGCCTATTATACAGAGTGAAGTAAGCCAGAAAGAGAAACACCAATACGGTATATTAACGCATATATATGGGATTTAGAAAGAGGGTAACGACGACCAACATGCAAAACAACAAAAGAGACACATATGTAAAGAACAGGCTTTTGGACTATGGGGGAGAAGGCAAGGGTGGGACGTATGAGAGAATAGCATTGAAACATGTATATTACCATATGTAAAATAAATGACCAGTGCAAGTTCGATGGTGAAGCAGGGCACTCAAAGCTGGTGGTCTAAGACAACCCAGGGGATGGGGTGGGGAGGAAGGTGGGAGGGGTTTCAGGATGGTGGGACACATGTACACCCTTGGTTGATTCATGTCGATGTATGGCAAAAACCATCACAATATTGTAAAGTAATTAGCCTCCAATTAAAGTCAATAAATTAAAATTTTTAAAAAGGAATCTGCCTGCAATGCTGGAGACCCAGGTTCAGTCCCTGGGTCAGGAAGATCCTCTGGAGAAGGGAATGACTACCCACTCCAGTATTCTTGCCTGGTAAATCCCATGGACAGAGGAGCCTGGCAGGCTATAGTCCATTGGGTTGCAAAAGAGTAGGACACACCTTAGCAACTAAACAACAACAAGGTATTCAGTACATGTTTGTTCCCTGAATAAAAAGTACTAGTACAAAAAATATACTGTTAATTGAAAACATTGATCGTAACGATTTGATTTTTTTGATGATGGTATCCCATATATTGATGCAGCCAGTAGTTTACTTAATCTGCCCCCAAACCTGAAAATGTGTATATATTACCCCTGTTTTTCAGATGAAAAAGAATCAGCTTAGAGAATTCGATTATTTGTACAAGTTCACCCAACTGAAAATCAGGATTGAGCGCTGCTGTGCACAGTGTCACAGCAGGAATTCAGGGGCCCATAGCCTGGCTTCAGCTCTACCTCAAGATCTTGGGGTAGTGACTAGCCCTCTTTGTTCCTCAGTTTCATCATCTGTAAAATGGACATGATAATAGCACCTATTTCAGTGGGTGATGGATTTTAAACAAGTTATGTCATATAAAGCATTCACAGTCGTGTCTGGAGCTGTATCGGTGTTCCATGCATTTGTTGTTATTACTACCTTTAATCATCATCTTTATTTGTCTCTGGTGCCAGAGTCCAAACTTTTAACTGTTACATTCATAGTACACGTCGAGATTTTTTTCTCTCACAGGTGTTCATTGGATTTACTGATTCCCCAGGCTGGGAAAGTAGTGAGAAAAGCAATGCCACCTTCTGGCCCAGGAAGATAAATTGAAAGTCGTACTTTTCCCTGCTTACAACACACTAGTCTATAGCAAATTTTAAGTCTTTATTCCATGACTCACCTTAGTAAATAAGGAACAGAGAGGAGTCTCGGGGAACTACCTACATGAAAGGCTCTTACTATGTAGCTTCCCTTAGGGATGTATTATTTTTAAAAGAGTGTTCTAAATTAGTAATATGCTTTTATAAAAGAAATTTCAAAGTGATTTTTGAAAGCACAATAATACTTTTTTGCTACTTTAGTTTTTTTTTTAATTGAAGGATATTTGCTTTACAAAATTTTGTGGTTTTCTGTCAAAGATCAACAAGAATCAACCATAGGTACACCCATGTCCCCTCCCTCCTAAACCTCCCTCGCATCTCCCTCCCCAACACACTCTTCTAGATTGTCACAGAGCCAGCCCATTTTAGTTCCCTGAGCCATACAGCAAATTCCCATTGGCTGTCTATTTGATATACGGTATTGTAAGTTTCCATTTTACTCTCTCCTTATATCTCATCCTTTCCCTCCTCCCCACTCCATGTCCATATGTCTGTTTCTCCCTTGCTGCCCTGAAAATTAATTGATCAGTACAATCTTTCTAGATTCCATATATATGTGTCAGTGTACAATATTTATATTTCTCTTTCTGACTTACTTCACTCTGTATAATAGGCTCTAGGCTCGTCCACCTCATTAGAACTGACGCAAATGCATTCCTTTTTATGGCTGAGTAATATTCCATTGTAAATATGTACCACAGCTTCTTTATCCATTCATCTGTAGATGGACATCTAAGATGCTTCCATGTTCTAGCTATTGTAAATAATGACACAAAGAACTTTGGGATACATGTGTCTTTTTCAATTTTGGTTTCCTCAGGGTATATGCCTAGGAGTGGGACTGCTGGGTCATGTGATGGCTTCATTTCTAGCTTTTTCAGGAATCTCCATACCATCTCCCATAGTGGCTGTATCAATTTACATTCCCACCAGCAATGCAGGAGGGTTCCCTTTTCTCCACATCCTCTCCAGCATTTATTGTTTGTACACTTTTTGATGATGGCCATTCTGACTGGTGTGAGGTGGTATCTGATTGTAGTTTCAATTTGCATTTTTCTAATAATGAACAATGTTGATCATATTTTCATATGTTTGTTAACCATTTGTATGTCTCCTTTGAAAAAATGTCTGTTTAGGTCTTATTCCCACTTTTTGATTTTTTTTTTTCTGGTATTGAGTTGTATGACGTGCTTGTATATTTTGGAAATTAATTCTCTGTCAGTTGTTTCCTTTGCTATTATTTTCTCCCATTCTTGTTTACAGTTTCCTTTGCTGAAAAACACAGCAATACTTTTAACAAATCACATTTATTCAAAAAGTTAACAGTTGAAAATACATATGGATGAATACATATTAGCATGCATCTGCTAGTACAGCTGATGGAAACTGGAAAGGATTAGCGGATGGAATTGTGACAAGTAATGAGCAGAAGAGAAAGGATTCAGAGTGTGTGTGTGTGTGTGTGTGTGTGAGTGTAGGGTGTGGCAGGAGGAGGCAATGAAGTTCTCTGAAATTCACAGTGTGGGTCTGGGGACAACCTTGCCAGGAAATGAAATCCCAGAGCATCTTGATGGTGGGGAGTAAGGAATATAAAGAGAGAAACTTCAGCCTAGGACCCAAATGATACACAGCAGTAAATGTGTCTGAGCGTCTGACCCGACAAGGTGGGCTGACGTGCGCAGGTGAGAGGAGCGCTGTGTCTCACTCCCATCCCCCACCCCAAGGGGAGGCTCCCAATCCTGAGGATGTGGCACAGAACAGGCACCAGGACCCACATTTCATACTAAAACTTTGGGAGATAATTTTAAATCATGCTTCATGTAAATTACTTTGTTCAGAAAAATAACACTAAGAGAGAAAAATCCAAACTGCAGTGAAAAGTATGTCTATGTGTTCATACATTGTTAAGGCTGGAGGGAACAGAGTGGGAGGGGTTGATGGAATCAGTGAGGACCAGAGATGGTTGCCATGGAGAAAGGGCGTGTGTGCTGGTCCTGGGTGGTTTGCCCAGGGACTCAGTCCTTCCCCTCCCCTGCTCTGCTCGGCCCTCTGTCTCTGGCCACTGGCCCCCACGTACTTGTCTGTCAGCTCCCCTTGCTGCTGACTCCCTACTGGGTTCCTAACATGGAGACCCTGGCAGGAGAGTGGGAATAAGGGGGGAGCCAGGTGTTTCTCCATCACGGCCTCCGGCCGCAATTCTGGCAGCAGCCGCATCTCAGCCTTGACTGCACCTTCCACGAAGCAGGCAAATCGTGGTCCAGCCTCTGCCTGCCCAGTGACCTCAGCCCATGATGTCATCCCCTATCCCCCCGCGGCTTCCTGTTGACTCCTCTTTATGTCCTCACATTCTTCCACTTAGTCTTCTCCGCTCTTCCATCAGCTGTGCAACCAATCCCTGGATTAAATTCCCTCTGCTTTAAAAGCTTAGAGTGCTTTGTATCTTCCTGTTGGATTCTGCTGGATGTTGGAGGAAAATAAAATATTTATAAATCAAACTGTGGTTTAGGTACAGCCTCCCCTGAAAATAGACTCTCAGATCACCTCAGTGAAACAGAAGAGATAAATGCAAAGAGGAACGATACACCCAGCAACCAGAACGATGCACTGGAAAGTCAACAAGCAAATGAACAATGTGACCAAGAATCTGAATCATCAGGTAAGGCTGGCTGGCTTTGCCTGGGGAGCAGAGAGGCTCACCACGGGGGAAGGGTATGTCCAGGACATGCTGATCCTGGGTGGTTTGCCCAGGGATTCAGTCCTCACCCTCTTGAAGGGGTCAAGAGGTCCTGACTGGTGACAGAGAATGAATTCATGTACAACTCAAGGAAACATCTAGTAACAAAGAAAGGGGAAATTACATAGTCACTGAGGGCAGGAACAGAGCCTGATATGTTGATGGGAAAGACCTGGAGGAAGAAAGTGAGAGAAGAAAAACTAAGAAGGTGAAGTGTCCCAGACACACAGAGGAAGAAAAACAGAAACAAGAGTCAGGGAGAGGTTGGCCCCAGAATCAATGAAGCGCAGCAATTTCATGGGGTGAAGGTGGCAATAAATGCAGACAGGCTCAAAGTAGACACATAAGAAGGAAAGAGAAGTTGGGGAAGATGCAAGAAAATGGAAATAGGACAAAGCAAAACTCTGTTGGATGTCAGCTGTGGTCTTTTTTATCTTCAGAGTTCTGTGAAGCAGCACCTATCCAATCAAATAATGCAGATGCTGGGGAGGAGACACCCAACCCATTGCCTTCTAACAAAGAAAGTAATTATTACTTACCTCACCTATTTTCTTTCTTTTTTTTTAACTTTTATTTTATCCTTTTTTTTTTTAATGGCCATGTTACATGCTTGTGAGATCTTAGTTTCCTGGACAGGGATTGAGCCCATGTCCCCTGCATTGGAAATGCAGTCTTAACTATTGAACTGCCAGGGAAGTGTCATATCTTACCAATTTTCTAATTACATCTTTGTTTTTCTAAGAGCCTAAAAGTTTTCCTTTGCATGGCCAAAAAAAAAAAAAAAATCTGTTGGACATCTCAATTCAGAGGCTGTATCTATAACTATCTATTGCTATATAAGTAACTAACAGTCACAAAACTGAGCAGATTAAACCAATCATGGTTTTACTTCTCACTTCCATCAATTCTAACTGTAAAATATTTCCAGCTTGTCCAATTATTCTCTATTCTTTGCCATGCCCGTGCTAAGTTGCTTCAGTCATATCTGACTCTGTGCTACCCCCATGGACTGTAGCCCGCCAGACTTCTCTGTCCCTGGGATTTCCCAGGCAAGAATACTGGAGTGGGTTGTGGCCATGCCCTCCCCCAGGGGATCTTCCTGATGCAGGGATTGAACCAGTGTCTTTTACAAGTCTCCTGCATTGGCAGGTGAGTTCTTTACCATTAGGCTTGCTGTAATCCACATCCTGTCACTTCTCACGTCAAATAGAAGAACAGTCTCCTGCTCATTTCTTCCCTCCTGTCTCACTTCCTTCAGGTTCACTCTCTGCATTTTAGCTCAGTAGACCTTTCCAAAATGCAGACCATTTCATATGGTTTTCCTGTTTAAAGCCCAATACCATCCCTGGATTGGGAAGATTCCCCTAGGGGAGGGCATGGCAACCCACCCCAGTATTCTTGCCTGGGAAATCCCATGGACAGAGGATCCTGGCGGGCTACAGTCCATGGGATTGCAAAGAGTCAGACAAGACTTAGCGCTGATGCACGAACCTTCTTGTGGCCCTCGGCATGAAATCAAAGCTGCAGGTATGGAGTACTGACACATACCTACCAGCTGTGTATTTCCCCATCATACTACATTCCCATCACACCAAACTCCTTTTAGTTACTTAAATTTGACAAGCTCTCTCAACCATCCCTGCCTTTTCATATGCTTTTGGAAAACAGTTTTGTATAATCTTCCAAAGTAGAAAATACAGGTAGCTTATGACTTAGCAATTACACTCTTCAACAAGTCAACAGAAATGTATATTATCACAACACACAAAAGAATGTTTATCATAGCATTATTTGTCGTAGTCTAAAACTTGAGCCAGTACAAATGGAGACTTTTTAGTTTTATTTTTTAATGGATAATTTCTGCAATGGAATGTTATACAACAGTGAGAAAATATGTTTAACTGGATACAGATGACTATTGCACACATAATGTTGATAAAAGAAGCTAAATCCATATCTGCCCTGCCCCCGAAAGAATAGACAGAACAAGAGTGAATGATTCCACTTAAGAGTGTTAGTCACTCAGTCATGTCGGACTCTTTGCAACCACCTGGACTGTAGTCCACCAGGTTCCTCTCTCCAAGGGATTTCCCAGGCGAGAATACTGGCGTCAGCTGTTATTCCCTTCTCCAGGGGACCTTCCTGACCCAGGGATCGAACCCAGACTCCTGCATTGCAGGCAGATTCTTTACCCTCTGAGCCACTAGGAGAGCTCTGATTCCACTTAGAGTTGAGAAGGGCATGAAGGAAGGGACAGAGTTGAGCAGAAAAAAGGAGAAGGGTGGGGTGGAACCTCTCTCTGCAGTAAGATTACAGGAAGAAGACTTCCCTGGTGGCTCAGAGGTTAAAGCGTCTGCCCGTAATGCAGGAGTCCCGGGTTTGACCCCTGGGTCGGGAAGATCCCCTGAAGAAGGAAATGGCAACCCACTCCAGTATTCTTGTCTGGAGAATCCCATGGAGGGAAGAGCCTGGTAGGCTACAGTCCATGGGGTCGCAAAGAGTCGGACACGACTGAGCTACTTCACTTTCAATGCTAGTGAGCTTCTTTTTGGGGAGACAAATTAAAATTTTTCATTTGTTAAAATTTGATCCAGGAGCAAAGCCATACAACCATGGACTACAAATCAATTCCTGTTCTGTCCGTCTAGTGGATATAAAGAAGGAAAAGCCATTTTTTAACTCAGAAGTTCAACTGAAAGCCCAAGCAAGGACTCACTATAACCAGGTGTCTGACATAATAGGTAAGGCTGACAGAGAGGAAATGGAGCGAGGATCATAGGAACCAGGCAAGAGGCTGGGGCATCAGGGTCCAGCCAGCCAGTCCAGGTGGCCTTGGGCAGAGGAAGGAAGGGCAGGGAACCAGCACCTTGTGCTGTGAGTTCAGCAGAAGAGATCCCCCAGGGACCAGAAAATTATCAGAAGACAGATGATGGGTAATAAACATTGATGCCCAGGAGACTATTTCCAAAGTAAGAGAGGAAAGTATGAGAAAGAAAGAAAAGGGGGAAAAAAATAGAGAGCCAAGATATTCAAGAGAGTAGATGGAAAAGAAACACATAAAGACAAAGCGAGGTATCGAGAGATACCGTTCCTGGAAAGAGAGGCATAAGTAAGGAAAAGGGGCCAAGAGGAAAGTGAAGAAGTAAAATGAGAATGAAAGAAAGAGGTAGAATGGAGTAGAGGGTCAGAGGTAGATCTAGGGTGGGGGTGAGGGGTAGCAGGAGGGTGGGGGAGGGGAGTGTGGGCAGGATGGGCAGGGCCGCCCTCTGTGTGTGAGCGTCGTCACCTTTCATGCAGGACCGGGAGCAACCTGCAGCTCACCCACATTCAAGCACAGACCATGTGCCTTGAATTAACTTAGCTTCTAGTTCTCCCCGCTGCTCTCATTCTGGGGTTTCCTGCTGCGTGGTCTCCACCCTGAGATCCTAAGGGGAGTTGTTCTTTTGTGCAGTGATCAGCAGTGAGGACTCTGCAGAATCCAGTGATGGAGATGAGTGCTCAGAACCCTCCACGTCAACACCAGGAAGGATAACTGGTAAGGAAGGGGGAGAGCAAGGCCAGGGCTGCAGGAATCTGCGCGAGAGCTACTGTTTCTGGAGCATCTTACTCGGAGTCCCTTCTGAACCATGGATCCAGTTTTTCTTGGAATCGTATCCTCTGAATTTTACTGTTATGGGAAGTGCACGATGATATGAAATCTCTATCTGAGGATGAGGTCTATTATCTGATGGTTGTTGCTGTTTAGTTGCTCAGTCGTATCCAACACTTTTGCGATTCCAAGGACTTTAGTCCATCAGGCTCTTCTGTCCATGGAATTTCCCAGGCAAGAATACTGGAATGGGTTGCTATTTCCTTCTCCACTGTTAACTGATGGGTCCCATTAATTAATACATGTTTTCTATTTTATTATATAATAGATTAACAAAGTAATGAGTGTGTTTAAAACTACTAGCTGCCATGTCTATAAAATGTTAGATTTTTTTCAATAATTTTATTTATTTACTTATTATTCCTGGTTGTGCTGGGTCTTCATTGCTGCCTTGGCTTATCTCTGGTTCTAGTGATGGTCCTTGGGCTTCTCTCATTGCAGTGGCTTCTCTTGTTGGGGAGCACAGGCTCTAGGATGTGTGGGCTTCAGTAATTGTGACACATGGGCTCAGTAATTAGGGCTCCTCTCTAGCACGGGCTCAGCAACTGTGGCACGTGGGCTCAGTTCCTCTGTCGCATTTGGGATCTTTCTGGATCAGGGATTGAACCTGAGTCTCCTGCTTGGCAGATGGATTCTTTACCACTGAGCCACCAGGGAAGCCCCAAAATGTTGAATTTATATGGTGACTTCTACCAAGAACAGAAAGTTAAATATGGTTGGCAATGCATGGGTTAAGCGCACCAACTCTCAGCACAATCGAAAATCTGCTTATAACTTATAGTCAGCCTCCATATACACAGGTCCACACCCATGCATTGTTGTTCAGATACCCCGTCGTGTCTGACTCTTTGCGACCCAATGGACTGCAGCACACCAGGCTTCCCTGTCCATCACCAACTCCCAGAGCTTGCTCAAACTCATGTCCATCGAGTCAGTGGTGATTCCATCCAAACATCTCATCCTCTGTCGGCCCCTTCTCCTCCTGTCTTCAATCTTTCCCAACATCAGAGTCTTTTCTAATGAGTCGGCTCTTCACATCAGGTGGCCAAAGTATTCGAGTTTCAGTTTCTGCATCCATGAATTCCACCAACAGTGGATTGTCTAGTGATGTAGTGTTTTCTACGGAAAAAAAAAAAAATCTGAGTCTCATCTGGACCTTTGTAGCTCAAATCCATATTGTTCAAGTGTGAACTGTATTCCTTTATTGGAAAGTCATATTATTATCTGGAGAAGGAAATGGCAACCCACTCCAGTATTCTTGCCTTGAAAAATCCCATGGGCAGAGGAACCTGGTAGTCCACAGGGTCACAAAGTGTCGGACACGACTGAGTGACTTCACTTTCACTTTCATATTATTATCTGATCACAAACTTGAATCGTGTCACAAGATAACTCATCCAGCTACCTACTGTTACCAGAAATAAAGACTTCAGATAAGGTATTCTGAAACCCAAAGTGTTTTTGACAATTCTTCAGCAAGTCATGGCATATAGAGTGATTTTTCAAAGGACTTTTGCAAACAATCTTACAACCTTAAAGGGTAAGCAGGATGGACATTGCTATAGTTGTTTCTAGATGAGAAAACACAATCACATAAATGTTTCAAGGTCTCTAATAAGTCTCATGAGAGATGAAAGGGAATAACAAAGCTGGCATTCTGGATTCTGCATTATTTCCTTTGTAAAACTGGAGCTCAAAATTATCTAAATGTTGTTTCCTCAGTCTTGACGGCAGCCAGAGTGGCCATAAGATCTGTATTTTTGTAGTGTACAAATTGGTGATTTTTTTTCTCCCTTTCTACTTTCTAGACCCAGACAATATTAGAAACATACCTATTTATAGAAACACACTAGGAAAAGTCCTAAAAAGAAGCAAAAATATTCCTTGATCTTGATGCTACAAAAGAGTAACATTTTAAATAAAACATTCAATCTACTTACTCACTAGATTTATCAAGTATATGTTAGTTGCTCAGTTGTGTCCAACTCTGTGTGACTCCATGGACTGTAGCATGCCAGGCTCCTCTGTACATGGAATTCTCTAGGCAAGAATCCTGGAGTGGGTTGCCATTCCCTTCTCCAGGGAATCTTCCCAACCCAGGGATCGAACCTGTGTCTCCCACATTGCAGGCAGAGTCTTTACCATCTGAGCCACCAGCGAATCCCCAAGTGAAATATAAATTTGCTTCAGTTTTTGGGAAGTCCACCTTCTACTTTCATCTTAGTTGAGTAGGTAAAAGGCTCTAAAAGGTAGTTCCCAAACATATCTATGGTTCAGACACATGAGAAGATTATTTTCCAGGCTTGCAAATAGTTCAAGGGCACCAGGTTGACAGGGGGTGGGAGGAGGTGGGAAGAGGAGACTCAGTCTTGAACAGGTTTCCAAGGTACCCTACGTGAGAAACACCAGATGAATGACATGTGAAAAAGACAATAAAAGGGGTCAGAAGTAGCAGACAGAGAAGGGTAGGATGGTTAAGTTTCAAGTAGAGCAAAGTCTCCCCTTACATTTGAATTGTCTCTGTTCTGGAGATAGGGGATGGAGCATCACTAACCTAAATGGCAGGTGACTTAGATGTACAGACCACACTTTCCTTGGCTTTTCAAGACTTTCTGAGTTTTCTTATTAGGGAATTTCCTGCTCAGTGGGTTCCTTGGTCACACCCCCAGGCCCCTCAAGAAGTTCCTTTGTGCAAAGGCCAATAACCTTGAGTCTTTAGGATCAAGTGAGAGAGGAGAGACCCAAGAAGCCACCATCTCTCCATCTCAGATGGCTCAAGTAGGAAGATCAGGATTGCAGCCCTGGACCACAAATATCCGGAGTCTAAATCCAGAGTTCTGTTTTCCTGATGAATCTTATTCTGATCATTCTCCATATGCCTTGATTTAATTACTTCTAGGATATCACTTTCCACATATAACTTCTCTGGCCATGTTGAGAAATGGAAAGAAGCAAAAAGATATTATATAAAAACTGTTGTTTAACTGGGCAAGCCCAATCAGTTGCTATATTGAAAATGTAGTAAAAATATGCTAGTAAAATGATATTTTTAGTACACACTATCACAGCTATTAATGCTAAAGAGTGGAAATAGTGTACCTATTCTCCAGCATGCTTTTATTCTATAGAGCGTACTAAGCATGGTATTCCTCTATTCATTGTTAATATTATCTTTAGTCCCCAACTTAGAAAGTCTTCACAGAGTAATTTGTGCTTCTGTTATATTATTGATGGAAAAATGGCTTCAGACCAAGTACTCTCAAACCCTAATTACAGTTGAACCGTTGGCTAACAGTGATTTCCCATAGGGTTTTCGTAAATAAAGTTTCATTTTGTTTTTACAAAAACCTTAACAGGCAGTGAGGGTAACCAAGTTCTCCCAGGTTTATAGATGAGGAAACTGGAACTGGTAATGTTTGAGGGTCTTTTGATCTTTCCAGGTTTGAGGGTCTTTTGGTCTTCCCAGTTCGCACTGGTAAAGTACCAGTTGGCACAGTGGTGAAGAACCCAGGTGCTAAGGGGAGATGTGAAAGACTCAGGTTCAATTGCTGGGTCAGGAAAGATCTCCTGGAGGAGGGCATGGGAACCCACTCCAGCATTCTTGCCTGGAGAATTCCATGGACAGAGGAGCCTTGTGGGCCAGGGTCCACAGGGTCACATAGAGTCAGACAAGAGTGAAGTGACTTAGCAAGCACGCATGCATGCACTCACTAGTATCTTTTATGAATTCACATGGAGAGTGCAAGGCAGTACTGGGTAGGACTCCAACATGACATACCTGCAACATGGCATTGGCCTATAGTCATATTCAAAAATATCTTCAAAAATAAAGTATCCTTTTATGTTCATAACAGCCTAAGATGTCAGTCAGAAGACTGTTGTTCCCTCATTTCACAGAAGAGAAAACTCCAGCACATAAACACTTAAGGGTCTTTTACACATCCTATTGATAAAAGTGAAAGTGTTAAGTCGCTCAGTCATGTCCAACTCTATGAACCCAAGGACTGTAGCCCACCAGGCTCCTCACTCCATGAGATTCTCCAGGCAAGAATACTGGAGTGGGTGGCCATTCCCTTCTCCAGGGGATCTTCCCGACCTAGAGATCAAACCCAGGTGTACCACATTGCAGGCAGATTCTTTATCGTCCTGAGCCACCAGGGAAGCCCCAAGAATACTGGAGTGGGTAGCCGTTCACTTCCCCAGGGGATCTTCTCAACCCAGGGATTGAATCCATATCTCCTCCTTGGCAGGTGGATTCTTTACCATCTGAGCCACCAGGGAAGCCCATTACACATCATATATGGAAACTTATAGAAACTTACCAGAAGAGACAGAACTAACAATCTGGACTCTTAGGAAACATTTGTAATCCTTTATTCAAAATCTTTAACACAACGTTATAAAGCAACTATACTCCAATAAAAATTGATAAAAATTTTAAATCCAGATGTAAAATAATAATGCTTTATTATTTTAGAAAGGCAGTGTGGTATATATCTCATAGATTTACAAGACAACCCAATAAGTTTGGGACCGAATCTCATTCTCAAATAGACTGTATCAGTGTTGCTTCATCAAATTGTGTGAATTCACATCAACTGTGATAAATATTTTATTGAACTCATGGCTGCCAAAGTCCAGGTTTGTTACCAAATTAGTTAGCTGCAATCCTATGAAAAAATACTGGTTTTCAAAACTTCTTTGACTTTGCAACTAAGGCTGAAGGATTGGGGATCTTCACTCCATTTGGTAGTGATCTCTTTCCCTTAGATGAGAAGAGACAGTAATGTTCATCATTGCATCTTTATAGCCTACATCCTGTCTGTAATGTGAGTATTCATAAGCTCATAACTCTTTTTGATATAGATTATTGGTTTTATTTTCCTTTACTTACTAGATCCGTCAGCCACTGGAAGCATGTCTATTTTCAGAATGAACAGTAGGAAGAGACGTAAGAACAATTAAAACTCTTGCTGTTACAAATATCTTTCTTTGCTACAAAACCCTCCTTCAACTTTTTGGTTATATCATTGAAAATGAAGCTACAAATTTGTAAGTATTTTAGATGATTCACATTTATTTTGAATTAGGTGAGCTGGGCTAACTGATGTAACACATAAACCTCAAGAAGTTGAGTGTCACAGTGCAGTACAAGTTTATTCTTCATGCACATAAAAGGATAAAGCAGTTCCCAGGTTGGAGGGGTGCTCATTGAGGGCCCAGCTGATGGAGGCTCTGATGTTGAAATTGTTGCTTCCAGGGTCTCTCTGGATAAGAAACAGAGTGAAAGCAGGAATATTAATATGTACTGACAAGAGGAAAGGGTAAAAGCTAGTAACCAAAGTGAGTGCCTTCCATAGCAAAGTTGTGCCCACTTCCAGCCTTGGGGATGGTTCCTGGAACAACCTTGACCACCAGGTCAGATGGAGCCACAGGGTGACCTGGTGGGAGAATTATCCTTAACCCTCTTACACAAGCTTCCCTTTTCCAAATTTCCTGTTAAAGAATTCCATGCTGTATTGGTCCTAGGTCACAGACTGAGATTGTAAAGGACTTTTATTTCTTTCTGCAGGGATGAGAAGTGGTGACTCTACAGACTTGAGTAACGAAGGAGAACCTCAGGCAACATCTAGTTCAGCCCTAAGAAATGGGTCAGGTAAAGAAGATTAGGATGTCCAGCCTTGGCCTGCAGCATGTCAGGAGTCTGAATTTAAAGCTACTTCCAGATGCATTTCATTCTGAGCTCCCTGTCTACCTTACAAGTTAAACCTGGGAACTACTTCTGGGATTTTTAGAAAATGAAAGGAGGCAGGAAATTATTATAAATTCACGCTTAACAAAAAGAGTATAATAATATAATATAATAATGTGTGTTAGTCACTCAGTCATGTCCAGCTCTTTGCAACCCCAGGAACTGTAGCCTGCCAGGTTCCTCTGTCCATGGGGTTTCCCAGGCAAGAATACTGGACTGGTTTTCCATTTCCTACTCCAAGGGAACTTCTCGATTCGGGGATTGAACCCACATTTCCTGCACTGGCAGGCGGATTCTTTCCCACTGCACCACCTGGGAAGCCCTAGTCACTAAATGTGTGTACTTTTATACTCCTATTTTAGCAGAAACAATTACCACAATGATGGTATCTTTTTAAGCACTTACTGTCATGTCTACTAACACCAAGATCCTAGATTTCTATAGTGGTATACTGGTTGACACTAATGTCATTTGTAATTATAAAAACATCAAAAGACAACTGGTCCTGCTGTGTAATTATAGACAGAAATAAAGGCTTCAGATCAACCATTCTAAAACTTTAGTATAGATTTTGTCACATATTCAACACATTGTAATTAGATTGTCTGATGGTATTTTAAATTCCTTTAGCAAATAAGATCTTACTCTGTCATCACAAAATCTTTAAGACTTAGGCAGGCTAGCTCTTGCTTCCCCATTTTGGGATCAGGAAATATTAATAGATGTACAAATGTTTAAGGATAAAAAATAGTGACTATTTTATGTAACAGGAAGATAAGAGCTGTGTTGCATGATCAGAGTCCAAAGAGGAGATACAAGAGATCTGGCATAGTCACAGGGGAATGTATCAGTGTCTGATGCAAGAAAGTGTATTTAACAATAATAAATGCATGTCATCTGGTCCCATCACTTCATGGCAGATAGATGGGGAAACAATGGAAACAGTGAGAGACTTCATTTTCTTGGGCTCCAAAATCACTGCAGATGGTGACTGCGGCCATGAAATTAAATGACACTTGCTCCTTGGAAGAAAAGCTATGATAAGCCTAGACAGCATATTAAAAAGCAGAGACATTACTTTGCCAGTAAAGGTCCATATAGTCAAAGCTATGGTTTTCCCAGTCGTTATGTATGGATGTGAGAGCTGGACCATAAAGAAGGCTGAGCACTGAAGGGCTGATGCTTTTGAACTGTGGTGTTGGAGAAGACTCTTTGAGAGTCCTTTGGACTAAGGAGATCAAACTAGTCAATCCAAAAGGAAATCAACCCTGATTATTCATTGGAAGGACTGATGCTAAAGCTGAACCTCTGATACTTAGGCCACCTGATGTGAAGAGCTGGCTCCTTTGAAAAGACCCTAACTCTGGGGAAGATTGAAGGCAGGAGGAGAAGGGGACGACAGAGGATGAGATGGTTGGATGGCATCACTGACTCAATGGATAAGAGTTTGAGCAAACTCCAGGAGTTGCTGATGGACAGGGAAGCCTGGCATGCTGTAGTCCGTGGGGTTGCAGAGTCAGACACAACTGAGCTACTGAACAACAAATAAATGCATATATATGTGTGTATATGTCACATATACACACATATATATGCATATATATGTATATATATTGATGAATATATTTAACCACCAGTATTAGTGTGAATATTGAAATATATATATCCAGATTGAGAGGAGAAAAGCAGAAACCATAAACAAAGAGGGTGGGAATGGAATCAGCTATATGGCCTACAAAACACCTAAAAAGATAAGATGAAAAAGGATGAACAGAGAATTAAAAAAGAACAGATGTTAACAATATAACTGGACTTCCCTGGTGGTCCAGTGGTTAAGAGTCTGCCTTGCAGTGCAGGAGACACAGGCTTGATCCCTGATCCGGGAAGATCCCACATGACGCGGAGCAACCAAGTCCACGTGCGATAACTGCTGACCCCAGGCACTCTGGAGCCCATGTGCCACAGTTAACACTCAATGCAGTCAAATAAATAAACATTAAAGATGCAAGACCTGCAATTAAGTTTGAATTTCAAATAAACAATGAATAATTCTTAAAAAAAAAAAAGAGTATAGCTGATGATATGAGAGAAATCAATACAGAAGACAAGAGAAATCAGGGGCAGAGAAGCTCACAGAATCAAAGTGATGGAGATAAATTTTCTAAGGAGACCATAAAGAGGAAGAGAAGGAGGAGGTGTGGCTATGTAGAAAGAGAGCAAATCTCTGCTGGATACGAAGAGTGGTCACTGGAGCAGATGTATTTCTCCTCCGCCCATCTCAGTTGTGAACATAGATTAGCTTCCTGCCATCATCTGTAGTCTGTTGTTTCCTTATTTCCCTTCAGTGTCCTGTGGATTCAAAACTCTAAAAATAGAGTCAGAAGAGATGTCCGTATATTAGCATGTGATCGAAAAGCCTATTGTGATACTAGTTATCAGTTTTCTTTGTTTCCCTGTCTGCCCAGAGGAAAAGCTCTTCCTTCTTTAATAATAATGGAGGTGAGTGAAGTGAAGTCGCTCAGTTGTGTCCAACTCTCTGCGACCCTGTGGACTGTAGCCTACCAGGCTCCTCCGTCCATGGGATTCTCCAGGCAAGAATACTGGAGTGGGTTGCCATTTCCTTCTCCAGGGGATCTTCCCAAACCAGGGATCAAACCCGGGTCTCCCACATTGCAAGCAGACGCTTTAACCTCTGAGCCACCAGGGAAGCCCAGTAATGGAAGAGTTAGGCTGAAAAGATATTCTGAGTAAGTTTCTTCGAATTAAAAGATGTTTAAGTATGTTTCAAGTTTCACAAGATCCAAATGTCACCAGATTGGGAAGTTTTATAGAGGAAGATGGGTAATTTTCAAGGTATCTCTAGGAACTTTGCCATAAACATAAAGATAATAAAGTCTGTGATTGATAGGCCTGTGATGCAGGAAACTCATAGAGAATGGCAGAAGTAATAATAATCAATAGAGTGGCCAATGTCAAAAGAGCAAGCAAATAGTGACAATGAAAGTGGTAAACTGTGAGATGAAGCTAAATATCATTGAAGAAAAAACAGATAAATGCAAAGACTGTAATATTTTAAAGCCAAAAGATCAAGGTAAAATTGAAAGAAAAGAAAAATTAGAAAGGGATGTGACAGTATGAAGAGAATCACTTCAATAATAACACTAGCTCCAGAGACAGAAGCATAGAAAACCAGATGGAATGAGATACATACAGGAAGTAATCAGTGGAGGGGATAAAGATGAGACACAGAGAGATGGTTGATGGCATCACTGACTCAATGGGCATGAGTTTGAGTAAGCTCCAGGAGTTGGTGATGGACAGGCAAGCCTGGTGTGCTGCAGTCCATGGGGTCACAAAGAGTCAGACATGAATGAGCAACTGCACTGAACTGAACGGAGAGATAAACGGTTAAAAAATGAGGAAAAAAATGGTAGAGAGAGAATCGAGATAGTGCAAAAGAAAGAGAGGAGAGAAATGGAGAAGTTGTGGATCTGAGATGCTCATGAAACCAAAGCAACATTGTTCACAGTGACAGTGAGTTTTTAGGGTAAGGTGTCCCCAGGTATCAAAATGGCTCCTGTAACTCACCCAGTTTGTAAGAGATGTTGCCGTTGTGTTTCATGCACTCTTCAGCTTCAATCACCATCTACAATCAAATTGTTCCTAAACCCACATTTCCAGCCCAGCCTGGCTCTGTCTTCTCTGCTTTCAAACTCAATTATCCAAGTATTAGAAAGATCTGGCCAAGGTCCTAAGGTTTTAAACTTCTCCACTTAGATATCTCTCAAAGACCTTCAAACTCTTTCAAAACTGAGCACATCATCTTTCCCCTGAAAACCAGTATCTGCTCCTCCAATGTTCTCTATCTCTAGAACACTTACTAACTGACTCATTATTTCAACTTGAACTTCTCAGTCATCCATGACACAGACATCTCAATTGACATAACCCATCTGTCATCTGAGCTTCCCTGGTGGCTCAGGGATAAAGAATTCGCCTGCCAGGGCAGGAGGTGCAGGTTCGATCTCTGGGTTGAGAAGATCCCCTGGAGGAGGAAATGGCAACCCACTCCAGTATTCTTGCCTGGGAAATCCCATGGACAGAGGAGGCTGATGGGCTATAGTCCATGGGGGTCACAAAAGAATCAGACATGACTTAGTGACTAAACAACAACAATCTGTCACCTGACTCTATCAGTTATTCCTTTTAAATGTCTCCAGCCTGTCCACTTATTTCCATCTCCATGTCAGCACCCTTATCCATGTCTGTATCACTTCTCACTTGAACTAGTTCTACAGGCTCCTGTTTATTCTCCTTCTTCTAATATTGTTCCCACCAAACACAGTCTAAGTGATTTAGCTAAGTTGACCTTTCAAAAATGCGAATGTGTTCATGCTGCTCTCCTATGTAATAGCCAAATGTCCTTTAATTTTCCTTTGGAATAAATTAATTCTTCTTTGAGTGACTTCCAAACTCCCTACCTGAGGCCCCTGCATCTTTCTCCATCCTCATCATTGCCTCTCATTGTCTCTGGTTCAGACACCCTGAACTCTTCTTGGTTTCCTGCACTTGTTGAATCCAGACTTTTATATGTGAGCTTCCATCCCTTTGGGGCTGTCATCTTGGTCACATTTCTCCCTAATCTGTTTACCTCCTGCTTCCATGATTCTTCCTCTAGAAAAGGTCCCTCATTTCAAACTAGGCTAGTTCTTCCTGCCTTCTGCATCCCCAGAGTAGTCTGTACAATATGTCTTAACAGTTTCCATGTTTCAATGTGCATCCCTCTTTATGCATCAGTTCCCTGGTTGCTCATAAGATTGATAAGCACTGATGCTTCCGTAGTCTTCTGCCCTGCATCATCACCATCATTTACCTCAGCACCTGACACGTGAGAGATGCTCAGCAACCTCTCTGAGTGAATAGAAAAAAAAGTCTACCTTCTGCGTTTCAACATTTAGAAATTTGTCTGGCAAAAATTCACTTCTTACAGTATTTATATGAGAATATATATTAAAGTTACTTTAATAATTGGATATGTTTATACATATAAATGTAACAAACAGCATTTTTGGAAAAGAATAGTGTCACATAAAAGTAAGTACAGATGTATGTAAAAATGTCATCAATAAGTAGATTGGAGAAGTATATAAAGAAAAAAATAGAAAAATAAAAATGCATATTTGGGGTGAAGAGTAAAAGTAGATGAAAAGGACGGGATAAGGACAGTGAGGAGCAGCAACAAGAGAAAGAGATGTCAGAGATAAAACCACCCTGTGATGTAGGAGTCAGGGAAAGAGGAGGGGAGGAGGTGTAAGTGAAAATTTCTTTACTAGCCATAACTTAGGAGCAGAGCTCCAAGGACTTAGAAGTGCTCCTGTGTCATATATTCTTCAAAAAGTGTTCCAAGAGGCCAAGAAGCAATGACTGAAAGTCACCAAGCATTGATAGGATGGGTAAGGCCACCCAAGTTCAAGGTAGAGGTGGTTGAATAGATATCCCAGACCCAGGGGCAGCTGTGGAAGGTGATCAGTGTTCAAGAAGAACTTCAAGCAGCTCCCAACAGGGTGTGGACCAGTTACAGAAGGTGAAGGTCACAGGACCTTGGGCTGCAGGATGTCAGGAGTCTGAAATCAGAGCTCCCACTTCTGATGCGCTTGAGTCTAAACACACTTTGACAGGGAGTGTGCTCAGTCCTCATCACAACCCTATTCTCTGCCCTCACTTGACCTGACCCTTTGGGGAACTGCAGAGAGGAAAGAATTCTGTTTAACAGAATGGGTCCAATTGATTATACCTGGATGATGTAGTTGAAATACACTGGTGAAATTGACAATATCATGGGGCAAAGAAATAAATGTGTTCTTCTGCTGGAAGATAATTCTGTCACAACCTTGGAAAGACCTCAAAAGACAAACAATCCTTTACCCTATCAGAAAAAAAAGACCTCAGACAACTATTTGTAAGCTCACCAGATAGTTTTGGAGGAGGCCTTCTAACATGTTACTGATTTATAGAGTGATTTCTCATTAGCTTTTGCAAATAAGGTCTTACTTAATCTTCATAAAAAATGTAAAATCTGAATGGCATACCTGTTGTTATCCCTGTTTCATAAATGAGGAAACTGATGCACATAAGTAGTGAAGAGATTTTTCAGTTTTACAGTTTCTGACCACCACCTGTTACTTTCTAGATTCCATGGATATTGGAAGCAATTCTACTTTGGGAAAACACAGTGGGAAAAGAAGTAAGACTGCATAAGAATTTACTCAATTTTCATCTTACAAATGAACTATTTTTTTAAGGCTAAAATTTATTATATTTTCTATACCTTTAATAAGAAAAAGATTAATGCCTTTTAAAGCAATTATTTTTCAAAATGCTCATATCTTCATGTAAATATCTTACTTTTTATTCTTCCTTTAAAATGTTTCTTATAAATATTGACATATACATTTCAGAATTTTTCTATGCATGTGCTAACACCTTTTGTAATACAGTTTTATTTATCTAAATAGAGTAATTCTATCCATACTCTCTCTCTTAAAAATTATATCATACCTAGAAAATTAAAATACATAACATTTTAAATTGAAATACAAAAAACCTTTTTTAAAGGATGCTTTAACATGCCCTATTTTCATCTTTAGTGTGGTTGGGTATATTCCATTTGTTATTGGTCATTTGTTTTCCTTCTTCATAGAACGCTTTGTCATGGAATGCTCGGTCAGTGCTTCCTGTTGTGATGTTTTTCTTTTTCTTACTATACTGCATGACTATGGACATCTTTGTATCAGATACATGCACACTAAATCTTGGTCCTATATGTTCCTAATATTTTGTCCCATTTGTTGTTTTTTTTTAGGTTTGTTAACGGAATATTTTGTCTTAAAGAAGTTATAAATTTTTAGGAGGTCAAATTTGTCAGGCTTTTTCTCTCTAGTTCTTTGGTTTCCTATCATATTTATAATAGCCATTTCTAGATTTTTAAAAAATATTGCTCTATATTTGATTCTAGAATATTTGAACTACCTGATAATTTTTAATATTTTCATCAAAATCCCATGAGTTTTGACTATTTGTGTATAGGCACTTTGATCACACAGCACCTTTACTTGTCTGAATATTAGTTTTTCTTTTATAAAACATTGCAGGAGGAAAGGGAGAGCTCAGAAGTAGCAACAGACTGAAGCTAGGGGTGAATTTTAGAATTGGCTCAAGAAGATTCTCTCCCTCTCCTTCCCAAGTTCTTTGGAAACTCTAATTAGAAATACATTGATTTTGCAAAATAATTTAGGGAGAACAGAGACATACCCATTTATTTATGTCTTATTTAATGTTCTTCCACTAAGAATTTTCTTACCTTTTAAAAAAATTTATATACTGTACACATTTGTTTCCATCTATGAATATCTTTTTCCCATTACAAAAGAGCTAGAATAAATTTAAATGAGATAAGACTCTCAAAATCTTTTTAAGTAGGAAATCTATGGTCATTTTATTGCCTATTTGCATATGGGAAATCAGAATGCCAGGGATCTTTTTCTGATTTAATATGAAATCTTAGGAGCATCTATATAGTAGTTTAAGGATCCACCTGTCACTTAAAATATTAGGGCCAGGCCTTCCAATGATCAAGACAACCAATCAGAATTAAGTTTCTTAAGAAATTTGTAATAAGTGGCAATACTTTCTAATGAGGGGAGTATTACAAAACCCTTCCAAATAACTCTTTCAAGGCAAATTTATATTACAAAAACAGAATAAATTGGTAATGGTTACAAACAGACATGTCTTACCGTCTTATGAAAATTCTCAATTTAATACTGTCAAGGCAATTCTTGTTTTGAATTTATTTACTTATTTTAACTGGAGGATAATTACCTTATAATATTATGATGTTTTTGCCATACATCAATATGAATCGGCCACAGATATACACACATCCTCTCCATTCATATGCTTTACATGGGACATCTCTCCCATGTAAGGCAATTCTTTATGTTAGTTTTATGGTACATAATTCTGTCTCTCCTTCTACAGCTATGGGTTGAGAGGACTTCCCCTGCTCTCTTTGTGTAATTCTTTGTTAGGTACAAAGGCTTACATTTTAAAAATCTGGTCTCTGGAATTTGATTAGTTAGCCTTGTACAAAACACAGGCCCATAGAGTTGGATTTTGTTGGCAGAAGTAGAGAAAGTATTTGGAAAGGATCTTACCCAAAAACAGTAAAATATGACGAATATAGATTTTTCTACTACAGTCTCCATCTTGTTGCTAAATCTGAACTAGTTTGAGATTCTTTATCTTTTTCCTGTTCTGATTTCCTTTCTTGTCTTCACCTAAATATATAATGCAAATGATTTGTTCAGTGATTTAAGCAAGGATATTTACAACATCTTTTTTAAGACTAATTCTCTCATATAGTATTTAATAAGTATTTACTACTTATAGGCTAATTATTATTCCCAGCATCATCAAAATACTTTCTGTATTATTCTTTGATCTCCAAATACTGAGGACCCTTCTTTATACACCTTCTATTTATCAGACCTCATCCTTATGGGCCTCACCCCATTTGCATTTTCACCTCTCAACTTACCCATTTCACACTCTCAACCCTTCTACAACTTCTCCTTCCTGAAAAATCAGACCACATCTCTACTAATCGCTGCTAAAACTCAGTCTTTCTTCATGGTACTCATTTTGGGTGAAGATATGTAAACAGACTTCAAAAGTGAGCATTATTACTGGTGTTGTGTGGGAATTTAGCATAATTGAAGGAAAAGCCAGATTTGGGTATCCCCAGAAACAAAGGTATAGAAGGCTTCCAAGATTTTGAAAAACTTTGGCCAAGCTTGCACTCATGCTAAAGACTGAGTTGCTGTTGGCTGTAGATAAAATTCCCATAGCTTATCCTATAGAACATGGCAGGATAATTTACAATGATTCCCTACTTCCACAGAAGAAAGAAGTGAACTCAGAGCTTCCTTTTTAAAAAAAAATTCTGAGTTTCACCCAGAGGCAAAGAGTCAAGAGTCTCATTTGCAACATAGCCCAGGGTCGGGTCACAATAGAGGTTCCCAGTGACAAATATACATATTGACACAGCCTCACAATCTAGCAACCTTAGGTGCTAAATGCAAGGTAGGAACCTCCATATTTTTCCACCAAGATGAGACCAAGAAGGACTAATTCCACAAGATTAAGTCAATGTCATACCCCAAATACTTGGAGTGATTTATGCCTCCAACTATCCTTGGCCCAGGTTAAAAGTACTCGCACCACGTGGCAGGTGAGAAGAAACTCTTCACTAGAAATAGTTAAGCTTCTGTATATTGACGCATCTAAGAATGTGTTGGAAGAGTAATTTAAATGAATAATTCTATCAGTTTGTGAAAAGTTTAATCCAAGTGTATGATTCTATACTTAAATCTGGGGGAAAAAATGTTGAAATAAAGGGAGGGATAAGGAAATGTTAGGAAACTACAAATTAGAAGGTTGGTCAGTTTTCATTGTTGGTTGTTTGTCATATACAGTGATGTAATCAGTGCTGTTGGCTAAGGAATATTCTCTGTAGATCTCATTGCGATTGTAAGGCTGCCTCTACATCACATGCTTCCAAAAGGACTATACAGATTGGCCATAGATGAACAGCTCTGCTGACCTCATTGGTAAGGCAGGAGTAGGCAGGAGGCGTGGGGAGCATGGCGGATGGGGAGGCAGACCTCCTCCAGGGATCCTGGGCTTTAGACCTGAAGGGATCTCTTTCTAACAAGCTGGTTTCTCCAGTCAAGAGGATGAAGCTGGGTGGCCTATCAGAGGGAGGTCTGGTCATGGTCTTTCTGACTGGGAGGTTGTCAGCTGCTTCTTGCCTCCTAACACCTGGTGGGTCTTGGCATTGCTGTGATCAGGTGAGTAAGCTGGGAGAATTTGATGCACTCTCTTGTCTGCTAAAGATGATCTCTACTTGCTTATAGCTCCTTCCTGGTCATTTGTTGGTACTGTTGATGAGAGAGTTGATGGTTGTGGTACTGTTGGTGGTGATGGTCCCTTCATATGACTTCCTGTATCTACATGTTGGAGTGTAGCTGAGATTGCATCCCTAGGTATTTCATCCAGTCTGGTAGCTATAAATTCTATCCATATGTTAATGACCACCAATTTTATTTCACCTCCTTTGGTCCCTCTATTGAACTGCCAAGTCATAATTTCAACTTCTGACTCCAAACTTCCACTTGGAGTCTCAGATTTGACACATGAAACCCATTTCTTTATTTCACTCCCAAACCTGTCATCCACCACCTTTCTCTCACTAAATGGCATTATTTCTACTCAGTTGCTTGAGTCAAAAGTATAGAAAAATGTGCTTGATTCCTCTTTTTTTTCCCCTAGTCCCTCCACATCGATTCACAAAAAAGTTTCAAAACTATATATATTTTTAAAAAAAAGAACCAAATAGAAATTCTGAGATTGAAAAGTATAATATCTGAAATCAAAAACAATGAAAAAATTGGGTGGACTCTGAAAATACATTGTGTGTGTGTGCATGTGTATACCAATACAGCCAGTTCTCATTATTCATGGTATAGAGGTTGTATGAAGTCACCCCAAACACAAAGTAGCTAGCATCAAAACTTTGCTTCCAAAAGAAATAATGGGTTTGGTTCCTGTGAGCCTCTGGTCCTATTTTTATAAACCAATAAATATATATCTTTGTTTCATGAGTGTTTCTGTTTAAAGGCACCTAATTTATTGTATATGTTGATTCATTCACGTTGAACTCACATCCAACGGCATTATAACTCATGCCTGATTGGAGCTCGTCTAACACACGTGTTTTCTCCATAAGACACGTCACAGTCTTAAGAATACTAGACAGCACTTCAGCACTAGGCTTGAGGCCATTTTAAGCCACATAATTACCAACAAAAAAAAGCACAAAAATGAGAACAACATGAAATTAAGTAGATTGCAAAAGGATGCATGCTAACAAAATGAGCTGAAACAAGGAGGCAGAGCTTTGTCTTGCTCAGCCTCTGCTGGGAACACGCATGTCTGGCTCCACACAAATTATTCACTGCTCTGCACACCACCATGAATGACCATGGAAGCACCATGAGAACTGACTTGGGAGTTTCAAATTAATTTTAGAGAGTGGGTGACTTCACAGATTTGGAATATGTGAGTAATGAAGATTGGCTGTATATACACATAGCTTCATTCTTTCTAGAATTAGTTTTTTAA